AAAAAGTTAGATGTGGCCAAGAATTTTGTCAAGATTTCATTTAAAAAAAAATCTTGATTTATTAATATCTGTCGTAAAAGTTTTTAATACATTTATATCTTCAAAAGTTCTTGAGAACTCGGCTTATTAAAGATATGCTAACATCTAAGATTTTGCAATTTTCGAAATTAATTATTCGCCAGTGAAAATGCTTCTGTATTTGATCTGAGATATTCGCCGAAAAATCATTTAGCAGGTGTTCCCATGCACAAACTCGGACATCAGACAATGTCCGTAATATGTCTGTGTCTAACAATTTTTGTGCAGATTATGTCCAGTGACAATCAATTTACTCAGACATAACTCAGACACGGACTTTGGACAATGTCCAAAAATGTCCGGTCTGCCAAAAATAGCTCAGACATTAAAAATTGACAACACTGCCTACAGCTATATATAATACGATATCTGGTATCTCAGCTTTACAACAATCATTTTTGCAGCAACCAGTGGCTTCATAACAACCTTGATATACACAATATCAGCCAGCACTACATCAACAAGTGCCAACACAGCCGATAGTATCGACTGTTGCTTACACAAGAAGTTTGCCGTCAAATAGTTCTATAAATATAAATTCAAGTGGGTCTATAGAACACGTGATCTCACTACTACAGGAAGTAGTATCAGTTGTAAAGAACAATAATGATGATAATAATCATTTACACCCTGTAGATAATAGGAACTATAAAAAAAAGAATGTTCGTGAGCCTACTTGCTTTGCTTGTCAGCAGCCAGAACATTTTGCTAGAAATTGTCTGAATATGACCCAACAATTAAATGAAGGTAGAAATGGCTCTTTGCAGTATAATATTCCTAATTCTAATAATGCACAGCATACTAACCTATTGCAATAAATGAAGAGATAAGAACACAAGCAATATAAGTCAAAATAGAAGATAACCTTGAGCATTTAAACTATATGACACACCTTTAGAGAGTGAGTATACGTTAGCATCAAATAATCTCTCAGTAGCGAAGATTGAAAAAATCTATCTGGCTAAGAGGCAACAAAAGGATGATGATAATAATAATAATGTTGAAGCTTCACCTGCAAATAAAGCTGCTGGAAAGAACAAACATGATGAAAAAAGACAGAAAATGGCAAGAAAGAAAAAAATAAAGGCTATTGATCTACAAATAGTAACTGGCATCTCTCTATACTTAATAATGTC